GTTACATGTTTTATATCATCCGGGGATTTTGTGGTTGGTAAGTTATCGGTGGTCTTATCTTTTATTTCGGATTTAATATCTGATTTGTCGGATGTTATCTTGTCATATATTTTATCGGATTTTTCTTTAATGTTTATCGTTTCACTTTCATCTTCAGATGAAGGAATTTCAGTGGATTCGGATTTAGGTTTTTCAGATAGATGTTTCTCTGTGGATGGAGATATTAATTTATCATCAACTTTCTTATCGGAAAGGACGGTTACATCCTGAATCGTTTTTTCAGAATCGATTTTGGATTTGGGAATATCTACAATGAATTGTTTAGAATCCTTTATTGTTTCTTTTATTTTTTCTTCTTGAGATTCGGTTATAGTTTCATCGAATGTACCTATCGTTGTTGTTTTAGTGGTTATTATTTGGTCAGTTAAACTATCTTTTTTGTCGGATTCCGTAACATTAAGAGTTTCTGTGGTTTTCTCTAGTTTAATGTCTTTCTCTTCTAATTCAATCGTTTTTAATTTATCGTCCATTGTGACTTTGCCCTCCTCTTCGGTTTTAGTTATATCTTTTATCACTGTGTAGGTTTTTAGAGTAAATGGTTTAGTTATCTTTATATTTTCATCTTTTTGTAAGTTTTGTTTTGTATTTACATCTGATATATATTCATTAATATGACTTGATTCGTCTTCTATATTTTCTTTATCAACAGATGCCGTTTTAAGTTTATTCAACTCAGTATGCTTGTTTTTCATTTTGTCTTTTTCTTTTGAAAATTGTTCATTTTTTTCTTCGACTATTTGTTCAACCCATTTATAAAACTCATCGAAATGGATTTTGTCTGTTTCTACACCTTCAATATATTGTTTAATTTTGTTATTTTCTAAATTATCATTTTCCTTATTTCTTTTTAATTCATTTCCTTTATTTTTGATTTCACTTCTTTCACTTTCATGTTTTACGTTCCTTTTTACTAGGGTATATTTATTAATATCTTCATTTTCTGTATCTAATTTTATAATATAGCTTTTATTTTCTTCTTCTTTTTGTAAATTTTGGATATTTTCACTGTCATCTATAGATTTAGATACATTTGTCTTTTCGTTGATGTGTATATCTTTTTGTAAGCTGTATGTTATTTTTTTGGAATTTATTGCATTGGTTTTAGTTCTTTCATAAATTTCATTTGAACTTGTACTGATTACCTGTGTTGCTGTACTTTTGTTTATATTTTCTTTTATTTTTTTGTCCAGATATTCTCTATCTATTTTTTTATTGTATTGTTTGTCGTTTGTTATTTCATGTGTTATCGTGGTATTAACTTTTCCCTCTTGTTTTTGTTGTATTGTGTCTTTTACTATCGGTTTCACATCACTGTTTATCAATAAATTTTTATTTGATGTTTCCATAAATTTAGGTAATTTTTCTATTTCTTTCGACGACCAAGATACTGTTTTTTGTATTTCTATGCTATTTTTATCATCATGTTTAGTTATATTTGTTGTGTCATTGTTTGTTATGTTAATTTTTAGTTGGTTTTCATTTATTTCTTTTTTTGTATTAATATTGGTATTTGTTATATTATTAGTTTCATTGTTTTGTTTATTTAGACTTTCTGTGTTTATTACTCCCTTATTAAAGTTATTTACTAACTCTTTAACAGTATTAATTTTACTCACTCTCTCTTTTTCTAATCTCTCATTACTTTTTATAATTATATGTTTTTGGTCATTTCTTACATTTAAACCTATTTTTTTAATTGGTGACTGATTTACATTTTTAGTTGTTTGTATATCATCTTTTATGTCAATTTTGTTATTTTTTTCGTTTTTATTTTTATTTGATTCTAGTTCACTATCAATATCTATCCTGTTCAACTTTGCCTTAGTAATCTTAGTTTCTCCTTCACCCTCTATTTTCTTTCCTGACATATCATTTACATCCATTTTCTTTACAATACTTGTTAGAGTCAACGTAATATCTTTTAATCCTTTTTCTATGGTTTTTGGAATAAAGGATATTGATTTATCTTTTTTTGCACTAATTATTTCACTTCCTTCATCATCTGAAACATTTCCTTCTTTTTCTGTAGCTGTATCTTTTTTATCATTTGTGTCTTTTTCGTCAATAATATGTGATATATCTAAAGATTTTTTTAAGTGTTCTCTTGTAAATTTTTCAAAAATATCTGATTCATCTTCGTCATCTTCCTCGTAAAATACTTTTTTAATTCTCTCATTAGTATCAGTTATATTTTCTTTTTTTGTTATTACTGAATCTAAATTCATTTTTTGATTGACCTCATTTGATATTTCATAAGATTTACTAGTTTGCATTGTTGATGACATGTCTTCATTGATGATGTCATCTTTATTTGTTATTATGTTTATATGTTGAGGCTTTATAGTTTCTTCTACTACAGGTGTTTTATTCTTATATTTTTCATCATCTGTTATGTCTTCATTCATCAGTGCTTTATAAATCCTTTCTTGTTCTTTTTCATCTTCGTCAATTAATTGTTTTAATTCTTTAGAAATCCCCGTAAGTTTAATTTTCTCCTTAATATTTTCTTCTTGTCTATACCCTGTGTATATATATTTTTTTTCGATTATCACTTCACTATCATTTTTGGGCAATGATTGTGATGAATCTGTCGTTTCTATTATTTTTAACTTTTCAGAATTTTCGGGTGAAATAATTTCGTTTTCTATTCGTCTTAAGCATAAATTATTTGCATTTGTATCATTTTTGTCTATTATCTTATCAATGCTTTGTAACATATTAGTTTCTATATTCACAATTTGCAATAATTTATTTTCTAACTCAGAATTATTTTTAACCGATGTATCTAATTTTTCAAAATGCTCTAATACACATTTTTCTGTTTTTATAACTTCGTTTAATTTAGATTGTATATTAATAGTATCATCTGTTTTTTTTTTATTGCTCACATCTATACTTAGTTGTTCTTTAAATACTTCTGTGCTTGATTTTTCATTTTTTGTTATTAGTTGCATTTTTCGTTTCGGTGTTTGTTCAGGTATCAAATTTTCATTTCCCGATTTTTCTAACTGCATTATCATTTTTTTGACATCAACCGCTGTGTCTACGTTTTTTTGAATTTTATTTGATTCTATTGGACTATTTGCGACATCTTTTTTTCTTACGTCATCAGTTATTGTCGCTACATCACTTGTAACCATTTCAAAAGGAGATAGAGCTATGGACTCCATAAATGTTATTGGACTATTTCCCGCATCATACATTCCAATTTTTTTCTTTATTTCTATTATTTCATTAACAGAAAGTCCGACTTCATCAGGTTGAATTGGGCTTAATCCAGCATCAGTGAGTTCTGCTTCTTCATCAAAAGCTGTATCTGTGTGTTTTGGTTTTGTCTTTAGTCCTGAACTAGTTAATGTATCAGAATATTCTCTAGTTAGACTTATTCCTGTGTCATGATGAGATATACTTTTATCTGTTAAAGGACTATCAAAGGCAGGTGAATCATCTAACCGTTCTATAATTTGTACTTGTTCATAAATATCTTTTTTTGGTTGATCAAAAAAGGGATGTAAAACAACCGACCGTTCCTCAAATTCCTCATCAATGTCCGCCAACGATTTATGATTTTTCGGTTTAGTTAAATTTGGCGTTTCAATGCCGTTGAGGTGTTCACCAAAACCATGGGTGTCCAACAAGTCATCATTGTCCTGTGACCAGGATGCTATGACCAAAATTATCAAGATATAGCTATCTTTTTTTTTTTTTTTACTAACTAACATTTAAACAGTCAGTCGGTCTATTACAACTTGTTCCAAAGGATTTGACGTGAAATGATAATAAGTTTACATTTTATGTTTATGTGTTATGTGTATGTGTGTGTGTCTATGTGTTTGTGTGAAAGAAAACCGCGGGAAAGCGAGACAATATAATATTATAGCTCTTCATTCTCAAGCAAGGTTCTACTTAACAACGTAGCGTCAGCGATTTGAGTGTGCAATTAATATACGGTGGTTTGTTCACTTTTCTGTTGGTTATCTTGTGTGCCGATGGTGCTTTGATTTCGTTGAATATTTTCTTAGATAAATAATTCATTTTTACTAAATAGGTTATTTTCAAATTTTATTTTTCAAATAATATTTAAGCAGTTTCCTTACTTTTTATAGTATTTAAATTTTCTCCCGTTTTTATAAGTTTTTTATTAGTAACATCAGGATAATTTTCATTTAAATTTTTAAAAATTCATGTTGTGTTTGTATGTGTATTTATTTGTTTGTGTGTATATGCGTTAGTACGTGTACTCTCTAGTGAGAAATGTGCAATAATGTTATTGGTGTACAGTATTTAAAATAACTAAAATACATATTTTTAAATATTAAACTGTAATATAATAAATAATGTTATTAGTTTTAAATTCATGTTCAAACTTGTATAAAAAAAAATATAATATTATTAATATTTGAAATATTTGAACATTTTCGATGTTATTTTATTTACATCTAATTAATGTAAGGTTTTTTTGTTTATTACATTTGTCTTACTATAACTTTTTATTATTATAATATGGTACTAATATACGATCGTAAATATATCAAAATATAAAAAAAAAATCCCTTAATGGACTATTAATTTGGTAAATGTTATGAAAGAAGTATACATGCCAATTTTTTTTTTTTTTTGTAACTCAGCCAATATTAATAATTATTAGATTTAGATTTTTTAACAGAAGATACCTTAAATTAAATTATAAAAATATTTTAATATGCAATTAACTGATTCACGATTTATTTTTAATGTTTTAATAGAATATATTTTAGAACTACGAATATAATATTATTAGATTTTTAGTTTTTATTAGATGTATATAATAATTTTTTGTAAAATAATTGTATATGTATTCTGAGTAAATTTTAATAAAAATAATAAATCCTATTTCTGAAAGTTGTAATGTTTGTTTCTTTTATAATGTAGTATTGATTCAAATGTTTCATGATACATTAGTTATTATTAATATATATGTATAAAAAAGTAATTATTTTTTTTTTTTATAGGGCAAATTTGGTTTGGTCAAAAAAATTTTTTAATGTAGATGGAAATTTATTTCCTGATAATACTAATTAATTATTCAATGATTAAAAGATTATACCAATGATTTTCATAAATCACCGATCAATATTTAATAAATTAATATAATGTTTTTACACACGATTAGACACTTGCATCAACATTTGGATATAAAAACTAATTCTTACAGAACCATTATTTATTTTATTATGATAATTATTTAACGTTCTACTCAAATATTAGTAGAGTATAAGTAAGAAATTCATGCATTAATATTTTGTGAATAAAGTAAAAAAATTAGCATAAATCAATTAAAAAATGTAATCAGTCTTTCTTAGACCTTGATCTATTAATGAATATTGCTAAATTGGTTTTATTTAAACTATAATGAAAAGCACAAAGGTACACATAAATGTGTAGTGTTAGTATTATTCTGTACCTTTAAACCAATCGGATAACTTATATAATATATACATAGCCAGATACAGAGTTAAAAATGTTGTGCATTTTGTTTATGAAATTGGCTTGTTATGTATAATTAAAAAAAAAAATAGAACAAAAATCAAAGCACCGTAAAAAATTTAATTAAGTTTTGGAACAGAAAAGTAATACAAAAACAATTATTCAAAAAGCGGTTTATAGAAGGGCTATAATTCAGGCTTAATATATCATAACATTTTAAAATTAATTTTAATATACGTAAGTGTTAATACAAAAGCTAAAGTTCAATATTTTAAATATTATAAAGCCAATAACCCTTTTCACCGCAAAAGCCATAAAAATATAAATCAAATAATAAATTCTTATAACAAAAATTATATTGATTCTATATTAAATTTTTTATAAAATTAATATGATTAAAACCTAACTGATGATTGAATGGATTGAAGGAAATATTGTGCTGCAAACAACATTATCATATTGATGAATTATAATTTATAAAGATCCGTTAATGATAAATGTCAGTTACATTGCTGTTATTATTTTGTTTACTATTTAATTTATACAGTTAAATAGTTGACCATCGACGGGTTATTTAAAATCAGTTTGTAATTATTATAATATGTCATATATAATTTAAGTATATATTTGTAAAATATATACACACATATAATTTATTATGTATTAAAAGCCTAATGCTTGCAGCACAATTAAGTAGGATTAGTTATCACGTATTCAAGCCACTCATACACAAAAACAGGCTATGTTAATTATTTTACTTAAATTTGTTTAAACCTTGATATATATTGAAATGTGTAGTTACGACCGCAAGCCGAAAGTTTTGTTTAGATTATTAAAAACAATTTTTTTGATTTTATTTTACCATTTTACATACCTATATCTAATCACTCGTGTTATTGTAACTTTAATAATTAGTACCTGTACCTAAAAACCTCAAATTAAATATTTATTTTATAAATGACAATGTGGTATCACTTTTATCTCTTATTTATTATAATAAATAAACTTAAAAATAAAATATAGTATCATGCTGGTACTTACGATAATTGTTCATGGATAAAGTGTAAACTTCAATTATTTTGACACATAAAATTATACTGTCTGTTACGTTGAAAAGTAAATGTGATATTTCTAGTAATTCCGTCACAGGTCGGCTGGTCCCATTTATACTCCCCTCCCTACTATTTCCCGAAATATTTGCACTGATGTAATGTGATTATCTTGTTAGTGATGAAAGAAGCCATTGTTTTAAGAGGAAACCTTAAACAATACCCTAAACTTGTGTCGACCTATTTATGTACTCGTATATTAAAGGTGTTTAGATTGATATAAAGAAAAAATTGAAAAACAAAACATTTACGGCTTGCGTTTTCGTACACATTCGATTCAATAAAACGGTTCAACACAAAATATTTATCACTTACCTGTAAGCTGTTCTTTTCCTGTTGCTGATACTAACTGACATTTTTTGGGTTCATTTTGCTGCTGCGTATCCTTGAATTCTGCAGGACTAGGTGGTGGAGTTTTCGATGATTGAGGTGATAGTAGACCAGCTGAAAATAAATTAAATGTAATAAACGATGATTAAATATTCAAAAAATGTATATAACTTACATTTTTCTTCTACTTTTGAACTAGCCGAATCTAGTTTCACTAAACCTTGAGAAACCTCTTCAAACAGTAACGAATCACGTCTTATTTGTTCGTTTGTTTCTTTTGTCAATTCAATAATTGGACTGGGTTCTGTTTTCATACCAGACAATTTTACTTATAATAAAATTATTTACAATAATAATTACGATTAAAAATAAAACTATTTTATATTTTAATTATTTATATTTAATAAAAAATGTTGTGGAATTATAATATGGATTAACAAAGTATTGAAAAATCATAAAAAAGAAAACATGAAACTTTACGTAATCGAAAGTTCATAAATTTAACTATATATTGAATATTACTTATATTAGTATAATACTGATTTGAAAATAGAATATAATATTTTAAAAATTACAAATATATAACAATTAATTGTTTAAGTAAATACAATTTTATAATTTATATTTTATTTTCTAATATTTGATTTTATTCAATATTTAAATACAAATTTGTATGTATATTAATATTTTTAATTATTTTGTTTATTTTTTTTATTTTTCTAATTCCTATAAAACAGTTTTCAATCATCAGTCTTATAAATAAATAAACAAAATTACATATATATATATATATATATATATATGAATAAATAAATAAATGCTTAGCCTAGAGTATTATATTTGTAAAGTATGACTGATTTCGAATCGAAAATTCATCGTTAGGTATATATAAAATCAATAAAATTAAATAAAATTACAAATATAATAATACTCCAGGCTTAAAAAGTATTCTTTAATTTATTTTTAAATTAATTTACGAGTGTTTAACATTTACTTATTTTTAATTTCATCTAATTTTTTATTATTTTATTTTAAATTTTATATTTCTTATTTAGTTTTTCCAAAAATCTTTTAAAAATTCTCGAAATAATAATACTCGATTTATCGATTACTATGTATAATTAGAGTAAATACTCTAAATTCATTTTTGACTAGATAATTTCCTTATTTTTATTAAATATTTCTATATGCACTTATACAAATATTTTAATTAGGTTCCTTATAAATTCAAAATGTTTATAAGATTATATTATTAGCCCTATGTTTATCTGAAATATTCTATTTATAAAAACGAATAATAATTAAAATAATTAACTTTTGATATTACTTGAAGTTAATACCACACTTAAAACCAGCAAATGATATTCATTGATTTTAATCACATACCTTCTTTCGATGTATCCTTTTTCGGGATCATTTGTTTAGTTTCATTCATTGTTGGTTCTTTTTCATATTCACTATATTCAAGTACAGAAATAATGTCTTCAGTCTTTTTTTGTATAATTTCTTTTACGGGTATGCCTTGTTCAAATGATAATCTTTTTTCGTGAAACGTTAAGCTTGTTGCGTCTACATCCACGTCTAATGGTTTTTCTTCGATTGAAGACATTTTTTTATCTTCGGATATTGCCGATTTTTCTTTAATTGGAATATCTTCTTGTAATACCTGTTCAATTGATACACCTCTTTCAAATGACATACGCTTGTGTTCAAAGGACACTTCCGTAGGTTCAATCGGATCCTCAACTGGCTTGGATACAACTTCGTGATCTTTAACTAGTGGCTCTTGTTTTTTTTCAATAACAATTGACTCACCAGTTAAACGTTGTTCGATTTCCATTCGTCTCTCAGTTACAGTTTTAGTTACTTCATCTTCAGTTATTACCTTTTCTTCAGCGGCATATTTACTATCCGAAGGTAGATAATCTAAATAATTGTATGTAAATGTATTATGTTTTTTAGTTATACATTTTAAATACGTTAAACATGAATTATTTTTTACTTTGATGTTTTTCTGGTTTCGTGTAGGCGCCATTTTTCGAAGGATAATGGCAGATTTCAGCAAAATTACATTTTTCCACTACATCAACTCTACCAATGTTGTTCAAAGCTCTTTCCAAGGCTGTAACTATTAATCCAAAAATATATAATATTATAATTATATTTAATAAATAAATATTAATATTTAATAAATAAAAATATAAATATATTAAAAATCAAACGTTTTATATCATTTATAATCAAAAATTGAAATACAATTTCGTTTTTGAATTATGTTAATTACTAATTCGTTTGTATAATATATTATTGTAAATTTGTAGAGGTTAATAATTAGTAATAAAATATAACAGAACTATATTCAACCTTAATTTTTAATTATTAAATAAATTTATTTTTTAGAGATGATAACTATATTTAAATTGAATTTAAGTTTATTTAATTTATATTAAATAAATTAAATTTTGAAATATTTGAAGTTTTTATTTTAGAAAAATATATTTTCTAATTATTAAAAAAAGCTAATCATCTTACCAGAATCTTGTCCAGATATTTCATTCATCCACAAATTAAGCATACTCATGCATTGTTGACCACTACTATCTGGGTATTCCTTCTGAATTTGAGCAATATCTGTTGATTGAAAGCCTAATTCATTAGCTAGATTTATCCAATCTTCAGACACAAAATTACTAATATCGGTAATTCTTAGTTCAGCACGTTTATGAGATTCAACGTCTAAGTCGTAGGTATACGAATAACTATAATGCCCATCTGCATTGTCTTCTGTATCAGGTACAATGTTTCCAGGTAATCCAAATTGCAAAACGCAGACTGGGGTTTGTGCTGGTTCATTTTTAGAAACCTATACACAAAAATAATAAGTAAATAATAAAAAATACTTAAATATTAATTTTCTCGGTCGTGTACTTTTTGTTCTTTCATTATAATAGTCCACGAACGAGGCTCAGCATTAGGGTCTTTCACACGCATTGTAAATGGTAATCTATTTTCTTTGAACGCCCGGACTACTAATTTGAGCTGTTCACCTGACTTGGTGACGGGTACTAAATTTCCTGCAAATTCGATATAAACAGGTTTGCCTTCTAAAACCTAAAATATTAAAAAAATTAATTATAAGCAAAATTCGTTTATAGAAAAAACAAGAAAAAATACTGTTCAAAATGATTTAATAAAATAAAATATAAAAACAATATGATAGATGGTTCATGTTGGATCTTTTATTAATTTTAAATTAATTATTTATACTATTTATAAATTATTTTATTATTATACCTCAACGTCTCTACTATTTGAAACTTCAGTGAAGTGTTCTTTATGTTCTAAGGTTTTATCTTCCCTGTCGTCAGTCATACAGAACAATCTGACTCGTGCTTCATTAACGTCTGTCCGTTTTGCAAACACCACGAATCTAAATATAAACAATAATGTTGTTTAAAATATTATTTGTCGTAATAAAATATTTAACATTACTTTGCCATAAACGGAACATGAATAGCTTCCCGATATAGTTCAGTGGCCATTTTCGATGCGTCCGCTACATTTCGACAGTCCATTAACCAAAATCGTGCTGAGACGGTTGTAGTAAACGAAACACAATCGTTAACAAACGTTAAAGGCGTTGAACCTGTGACGTCTTCCCATTGTGCTCTAGACGTTCCCCCTTCAAAATATGTACGCGATAAAGAATGTTTGAGTGAAAAAAGTGAAAAATTATTTATTTTTTTAATTCAATAATAGAAAATAGATGTCATAGAAATTAGTTAACTTGGGTGAGGTCCACAAAAGCCAATCTGTCTACCACACATAACTCATTCCACATCATGTACAAAGCGAACTTAGAACTACAAGTCTTGAAGCAAAGCAAAAACTAATATTGTTTTATTTGTTTATTCGTTTAAGCTTAAGTTAATAATTTTGTTTCAGAAAAGATCACGTATTTTAAATGTATTTTAAATGTTTAATGTCAATCAAACGTATCCATATAATTATTTTATAGAATACGTACTTTTCAAATATTTTTCAAGTTATAAATTTAGAGCGCAATATTAATTTAAAAAATTTTAAATTATTAAAATAATAGAATAATTTACATCCAAAAATATTATTTTCGAAAAAAATACAAAGAAAAAGAGAAGAAATCAATAAAGTAGAAAATATAAAATGCTCGTGCCCACTACGGCTACCAAAATTAAAATGGTGTAGTAATATAAATGTTGATTAAGTGTACGTTTTTAGGTAACCAAATGACATGAACAATTACCGTGATCAAAAACACTTGAGTTAATAAAGATATATTTTAAATTAAATTAAAAATATATATTACGAGTATAATAATAACAAAATAGCATCAGCTTGAAGAAATAAACAAAATAAACGAGGGTGACATTAAGAAAAAAAAAAGATCAAGTGAAATAATTTCTTATTATTTATTTTATTTCGACAAGTCTTTACCTTTGCGAGATCTTTTCCGAAACAACCCTGTCAAAACAGTGCAGTATCATGTTACGCAACAGTGAAAGCCAAAAAAAAAAATTATTTTAATCGAAAGTTTTCAAACAGTTAGTTTATAAAAAAAAAATTTTGCTTAAAAAAATAGGTAAATCAATTTAGATAAATTGTAATGTTTCAATATTGTGTTTAATCAGCATATATAACGGAAAAATAACTTGACAAGAAAATGTTTAACAAGAATGAACGGAGAGTGAATAGTTAACAAAGAATAATAATTATGGATAAATGTTGGTAACAATATTAAAAAAATAAATAAAAAAAAAATAGTTGACAGCATTTCCTTACCGGTAATGCTGCAGAGAAGCCTAAGTGTTGGGGCGTCGCCAGTATAATGGTTGATCATTCCCTTGGAAGATGCTTGGGGTAAGGGTAGTGTCAACGTGATAGGTTTGTGGAATTTTCGTCTTCTCGGTTCTACGGTTACAATAGGTGAAACAGCCACTCGGTTACCCAACATTTTAGCAGTCAACTCGGATGGAATCGGTTGAGCCTGGTGAAAATAAAAATCAGAAAACATGATTCCAATGTTAACAGAAAATACGATTTAAATGTATTTATTTATTATATGCCCTCAGCACGTGCTATTGATCTGAGGAAAATTCAGTTGAAAAATGTATTATTCTATAATATTTAAAGTAACTATATACATAAACAGCATACCAAAAATAAACATTTTATGTAGAAAAAAATACAATACCGATTGTTTAAAAAAAAAAATTACAATACGTATTATTTTGTAATAAACTATTAAACAATAACATTGTAACATCTATACTTGTTTATTCACACGCGTACTGCAGTATTTTGAGAGAAAAAAAATATTGTACAACTGTGTATTATTTTTATCGGACTTTTAAAATTGATGAATTGATCGGTAAAAAAAAATTTCTACTATTAGGAGGTATTTGATATTTTGTACATACTCGTAAATGCGCGTCGTTGTAGTCACTGTTCTTGTTATTTTCAATTAAAATTAAATTGAAGTTTAATTTCAATTGAGTAGTGATTTGCGAACAGAAATATAAGTGTTTCGGACTGTAGTTTACCCATCACTGGTTTAGTTAATAACAATTTTTCGTTTTTATTATTTTTGTTACTAAAAAAATTAAAAATTTCTAAACAATTGTTATATGACAAAAACAATTTTAGTATTTTTAATTAAGAAATTTTAATCAATGTATAGCAATTTTAACAAAAGATAAGTTTCTCATATTTTATACTCTCTTTGAGACACTATTTTGCTTTGGTAAACTTTTAAGTACCAGCAATTTATATACAGTTTAATTTTAGATTAAAATACTATAATATCTAATAGTTTGACATATAGATTCCTAATAGCCTATTTTTTTAAACCGGTATAATTAATTTACAAATCAAATATATTCGCATAAAAAATAACTGATCTTTAAATAATTGCCGATGAAAAGTAATCAAGTACCTATGCAACTTCGGTGTTCATTAACTATGATGTGAACACTATCATAGATGGGTTCAAAATAAAATCGTACTACTCGTTTAAATCAACATTCGTTTATGTTATTTTTTCAAGTAAAAATTATGATAAATAAAATGGTATATCATTGTTAATTTGTTATGGTCGACGTCGTCATTTCGGGAAAAAATAAATACCAATACTAAAAATAAACTAGCAACACCACCGATCAGGAATCTTGATTCAGGACAATGTTAATGATATCAACTATGCGTCGAGAACATGGCATTGAATGTGTTAAATATTATGAATTAAGTAATACGGTTAACATTCAGTAAAATTACGTAGATCATGAAAAAACTTTTTATGCCCCCGTGGTCATGATGCCCGGTGTACACGCACCTCTCACACCCCCCTAAGCACGGACCTGCTTTTAATAGATGAATAGATTAACAACTAGAATAAAAACTTGGTTTATTTTTATCGGCTTATTAAATTTTCAAAAGTAATGAACTATATTTTATATCTAAGGATTGGATATCTCACGTTGTTTATTTAAAACTTAAGAAGTGATTTTGTTATTCAAAATAGTTTTATGTTACTCTTTTGATTAAAAAAATAACTATGAAATGTGCGGTTTATCAGCTAAAAAAAGAAAACCGATCAAGGTAATTTTATTTATAAAAAGCTAACATAATTTTATTTTGATATTAATTATTTTTTTCAACAATAACTAATTGATGTTTGATATTTTTAATATGTATGTAAAACATAAGCTCTTAATTGTAAATTTGCTATTTTACGAGCATAAAATAAAAATAATTATGAATGACGTTTAAATGTATTTAAAAACGAAGTTTCTTTTACATAACATAAATTGAAAATAGTCTAATGGTTAATACTCGTTAATTAATATATAAATAAATAGACAGATTAATTAAATACAAAAAATAACAAATAAATACTTTAAATAACGTCGCGATTTTATTGACTTTAAACATACCTGATACTTTACAAATAAAATAATACTACAGAATAAGCATTTATTTATTTATTTATTTCTATGTATAAAATATTGGTTTATTTATTTATGCATTAAAATATAATACAATAAAAGTTCTTTATTATATGCTGTTATAAATTTAGTTAAAGTATCTTCGAAGTATTTAATATATATATATTTAAATAAAATATATTTTAATAAATACATATTTAAAAATTTTCTATTTTATTTTTAAATCTTTTAAAATTAATTATCGTTAACTATTATATAATTATACCTCTTATATATATATATATATATATATATATATATATATATATATATATATATAGATATACGTTGTAAAGTTCTATCAACGGATGACTTTTCCCCTAAAACATCAGTTTCTAAAATTATGAATTTATATATATTAGAGTATATTATGTTATATTTAATGTTAACTTTACAACACTTGAACTTATTATATAATCTAAACTTACAGTTGCAAATTAAAATAATTTTAAAAATATAAAAAACATTAGTTGTTTTTGGAGTATGTAACATTAATCTTTTTTTAGACTTAAATAATTATTTTACACATGATTTTAAATATTACCAAAAATTGAATCAAAACAATTTTTACTTGTGAGCGAAATTATTTCTTTCGTATTCCAATTAAAGATTATTGTTTTCATTTAAAAATAAATGTTTAAGTTGACAAAACTTATAGTAAAAAGCGTGTTATTGATTAAAAATAGTAAATAGGTGACAAAGAACTGTTAAGTACATATTTATTACCAATGATATGGTCACTAGATGACAGTTAATAAATAAAAACAGAAACATATGTTATATCGAATTGTCACAATAAAAAAATATTCTACACATTGTTTATTTTTAAACTTAAAGAAAATTATATATACATTTACATTGCCATTTACTAATATTTTTATGTAAATTCGGTACTTTTTAATGTTTTGAAAATATTAATAATTATATAATTATAAAACCTTCTTTTGACTTTGTCGACTATATATTTACGATGATATTTCAGTTTTTTGAAGCCTTATAAATTGAATTAGGTTAATTCACAGTTTTTAGCTAATTACTAGCCGTTAATACCTGTTTACTATTGAATGGTATCCTGTTGTAAAAGTAAAAACGTTTGATAAACCTTAATGTGGTAGTTGGTTTTATTGTGGTTAGAAATAATTATAGAGATTCGTTTTTATATTATTTGGGTGTCGTGTAAAATATCGTTTTATCTCTGACTGACGTAGTTGAAAGCACATTTAAGAATTTTAATTAATCGATCAAATATATATCAATGATACCAATATTTGTCTTTACTATATTATACCAAAATTTTAATAAAGTAGAGTTAAAATGGTAAAATATTCACACACATTTTAGATTATTAAAACCTTTAATTTTAAAACGTCAATGCTATTGTCAAATAGTCATATTCTATTTAAGACGGAAAATGCAAATTATCAAGTAATAGCTTAATATCAAAATTAAAGCCGAGTTAAATATTAAGTATTTTTTGCTGTATTCTAAAAGTTAATATTAAAATTTATACGAATGTTTTGTAT